AGCAGGTACGGCCGCGGCGGAGCCCCCCGGCCCGCACGGGGAATCGCTGCTCTGCGGCCTGATAGGCACCGCGGCTGAGACCCTCCCCAGCAGGGGATATTTCCTGTTTAATAAGCCTTTCTAAGTGCAAAGCACGCTGCGATAGGAGAAAATCCCATATATATGTATGTGTGTGTGTGTGTTTGTATACATATATGTACATACATGCTTTATTTGAAGCTGGTTTCTGTCTGGCCCAAGTTCTCCTACCTTCCTGGTTCCCTCAGAATCATAGAACCATAGAATGGCTTGGCATGGAAGGGTCATTAAAGCTCACATTGTTCCAGCTCCCCTGCCATGGGCAGGGTCACTTTATACTAGACCAGGTTGCTCCAAGCCACATCCAGCCTGGCCTTGGACATTTCTACAGCTTCTCTGGGCAACCTGTGCCAGTGTTTCACTCATCATACACTCACAGACACACACACAGGTGCCAGTTCACTGCAGAGGCACACTCTGCATCACTGTCACTGTGTTTGCTGAACAGCATTAGCTTTTCACTAAATACATTCACCCCCAGTACTAGAGGAAGCCTCCCAGGTAGAATGTCTTAGCAAGAATAGGCAATACTGTGTTGCTTCGCCCAAGGTGACAGTTCAGCTCTGGAATAGTGTTGCAGCACCTCAGTATATATATTTTATTTGTTTTGGCATCTGCTTTCAGGAAGAGGAAGAAAGGAGGTCTCTTGCTAGAGCCAGATGGGAAGGAGGAAGAAAATAATGAACAGAATGAAGAGGAGCAGAAAGAAGAGGAAGTGGATACTGTAGAGCAGGAGGAAAGAAGCAGAGAAGAAGAAGAAAAAAAGAAAGAGGATGCTCTTTGGGCCAGTTTCCTTAGTGATGTAGGACAGAAACCCAAAGCTGCCACACCAATGATACAAGCCAAGAAGGTAACAGGGCCTAGGCCTGACCCAGGGAGTGTGGGAAGGGCCTGAAGCATTGGAGCACACAGCATTAGTTATGGCTGGTGCCAGATACCAGTTGGACCTGGGAGGAGGATGGGATTGGCCCTGCCTGTCTGCTTTGTGAGACTGGAGCCCCATAATGGGCCAGACTGCAAGGAGCTGGTTTCCTTCCAGCTGGGGTAGTCTGTGGTCTGGCAGTGCTACTTTGCACCTGCTTGTCAGCACCTCAGAGTGTGCCACAGAGCTCTGTTGGCTTCCCTTCCTGGTCCTGGATTCTCCCTGTGACACAGGAACAGCAGGATGAGCTTTGGTCAGAGTTGTGCTTGTGGGCACAGCTCCCCCTGAGGCTTGTGCCTTTCCTGATGCTCAGAAGAAGAAAAAGGAGGCTCTGTGTGTGTGAGAGAGTGGGAAAACAGAAGAGGCCTGTGCTGACATCTCTGTGCCTTCATCCTCATACAGTGAGGGAGTCTGGAAAGTGCTGCATGTTGGGATGTGTGTTTGTAACAAGGATGAATCTGACAGTCCCTAGTTTCCTCTGTAAGTCCCAGGAAGGTGCTCTTAGTCTGCAGAGCTTTTTCTGGAGAGGCAATTCTGTGTGTGAGCAGCTGTTTTAGAGGATTTGGTTCTCAGTAAAACCAAATGGATTTATTTGCCTTGCAAAGCTTTTCACAATGGAGGTGGTAGAAGGGAAGAAGGTACCAAAACCTGACCTTGTGTCGCGAGAATTGCTGATTTGGGTAAGCTGAGTGCTCAGCCAAAAAAAAAAAAAAAAAAAAGTGTTGTGAACAGAAGCCTGGACTCTTGCATCAGTGACACCTGGTGAAGTTCTGGCTGTGTGAAGCCTCTTCCTATGTCTGTTGGAAGGTTGCAGAGCAAGTGTAGAGTCCTTTCATCTGAGCCCTCCTGCTTCTGCCTGGCTATGGCTGAGCAGCTGGGATGGTCACAGGTAGAATCAGAGAGAAGTGGAAGTTTTCTTCTGAGCTGTTATAGACAGGTCTCTAAAATGTGAGTGGAGAAGTTATTACATAGCCTAGAATAATTCATGGGGAGATGCACTTTCTCTCTTCTCTGTGTGAACTTCTTAACTTGGACTTACGTTGTCTGCTTAAAGATCTCTGTGGTGTGTGGTTGATTTAGAGGAAGAATTTTGGGGGTTTGCTCTGATTATTTATAGGGTCTGAGGTTTTTTGTGTATCCTGCCAAAAGCTGTAGCTGTGACTGAGTAAATTAAGAGACATTGTTGACAGATTGCTTAGTAAAGATTTTTCCCTCTCAAATCAGAGATGTTATTGATAAGTGGCTTAATATCTTCAGGGTTCTCTGTGAAGATCTGCCTAGCTTTTACAGCTGATGGGTTGTGTTCTTCTCTGTAATTGAGTAAAAATAAATATGTTTTTGTGGATTCCACCCTGGCAGCTTCACTGCCTGGTGATGCTTAGTTTGGGAGAACAGTGTCTTCAGGTTTCTGCTGCATTCCCAACCACAGCAGTGTGTTCTTGCTCCTTCCTACATTCATTACAATTTCATTTGTTTTGGGTCTGTTTTGATCCTTAAGCTCCAATGAAAGCCTGGAAGCAAATTGGGGAATTTCATTCTGGTGGAAGAGTGGTTATTTCCTTTTTCTTCTCTGCGAGCGACTTGCTTTGACCACCAGCCTGAGCTGCAGTGCTACCTGAGGTCTGTGTTGGGTCCTCAGCCCCTTGGCATGATAATTTGGTTGGGCTTCACAAATGCATTATTTTGCTTTCTGCTTCATGTATTTTGTAGGCTGAAGAAGAGAAGAATGGGAATAAGCTTCAGGAGAAGCCAAAAGATTCAGGAAAAGTGACAATCACCAAAACATTCGATTTTGCTGGTGAGGAAATCAAGTAAGTTGGCAGATGTGATGTGTCCACTGCAGGCCCAGTACGAGGTGGGTGCTGCTGTGCTGTGGCCAGGCTGGAGCTGTGCTCTGGGGCACAGTGGGTCTTCTCTTTCCTTTACACTTTTTTTTTATCATGAGCACATACAGACCTCAAGGAAAATGAGGCTGAGATTTTCCTGCCTGAGAGCTGTGCAGTATGTAGACATCATTCTTTGCTCAACTTCAAAACATCCCAGTAAATTCACTTAGGCTTCCCCGTCTGGACAGTGTTTGAAGTGGTTGGCAGAGCTTCCTGGTGGCACTGCCACTGTGAAGGTTGAAACAAAGAGGGTAGCACATTTGGCCCCACAGGGACAAGGGCAACACATTTTGTTCCTTCAGACAACTCCAAGTTCTGTGCTGGGTAAGGATATTGGCTGGGACTTTCCCTGGTGATGTTTGCAATCCAGAGCAAAGATTTGCAGGCAGTGAGAGGTGTTTTGCTGACTGGGCTAACAGCTGAGTGCTTTTACCTCTGAAACAGCTGCAGCAAAGGGGATGGGCTAGGTAAAATCATGCTTTAGACTGAGTTTGGCTTGCAAGAGGCTTCTCAGGATGTGCTGCAAGAAGGTACAGGTGTTTTCTAAATGTGTAAGACCAGAATTGAGGGGCCTGGGAGAACCCACTTGAAATGTGAGTGCCCTGTGACCTGCTGGTTGTTACCACGGAGCGTTTTCTTTCTGTAGCAGCAAACCTGCCGTTGTTGGCGGTTCGTGTGACAGCAGATGGCAGCCGTTCCCAGCAATAGCTCCCGCGCCGCCTGAGCTTGGAGGAGGAGGCAGAGAGCTGAGGCTTCCACTGCTCTCTGTGCATGTTAGCCCTGGTGCCCGAACTGAGGAGACCCATGACCCGTAGCAGGAATTTCTCTATTTCCCTGCACGACCCAGGCAGTAGGAATACCCTTCATTCCCTGATGAAATGGCAAAGAACTGTACCACTGCAGCTTTTCTGAGAGAGTGTGTCATGTCATATCCTTTCTTCAAAGGATAGGCTAAGTCTTTCCTTTGGGCAGATAAAAATGTGTAGCAGAATTACAGACAGAAATTTTGTCTTCTGACTCCCCTCCTTAGCCACCAGTTCGTTGGTTCCCAGTTTTCCTGTTTTTTTCCTGGTTCACATGTGGTGTCCTACCAGGTGAGAACAAGTGAAGCTATAGGATCACAAGGCTGTCTACAAAAGCCTCGTTGGGTTCTGATGTGTCATCAGAGGGCACAAGGCAGAACTGCATTCCTGGCACTTTGTGGCTGCATGAAATCCTTCTTGTTTCACAAGTCTGAACACATTCGTCTATGTGTTGTAGGTGAGTGTCATGCCCTAACATGAGCACAGAAGTGTATCACTTAAAGGAAGGGATTGATTTGCAGGGAAACTTACCCTGTAGGCTTACTTGAGAACATGAGTCTTCCACTTGTGGAAAGGGATCTTTTATGTGCAAATTTTTTGTTGAAGTATGGTACCTTTTAAATAGAGAATTAGTAAAAGCATCTACCTTGAAGCTGTGTGTTTGCCTGTCTTTATGAAAAGAAGCCCCAGATAGTTATGATTAAAGCATAGAATTACTCAGGGTTTGGTCTGATTTTGGAGTTCTAGATTTTATGTGTTGGTGACAGATTAGCTCTAGCCATGCTGCTCTTGCTTTTATTGATAATATTAGTTGGAGGGGAAAATTTTGCTCCTCTTCAAAAAGTGGTTTGCCTTATGTGAACAGAACTTGTTCAGGGCTCCTAAGATGGTGATTTTGTGCTTTTGACATCAGCATCTTATCTGTGGTTTCTTAATAGTCCTAACTAGGAGAAAGGCACATTTTTCTGTGCCAGTCGCTTTTATAGTGTCATTTGTGCTCTCAGTGCTGACTGTTGCCCTTGGGAAACTGCAGAGGAATTGCTAGAAGTTTCTATTAATTTTTGATGAAATAGGCAAGAGCTGGAGCACGAGTGACAATGACACTGTAATCCTGCGAACACCAAGGCTGAGGTACATGTTTTTACAGCAGCAATTGTATCAACAGGTTACAGAGCCAGGTTTGCAGTGAGGTCTGGAGCACCATTTTCCGTTGGTACCAGAGTTACAACAAAGTTATGTTCTTTAGCTCTTTGAGAACAGAAAAATCCTTCAATGTTTTTTGCCATATTGATTTTTGTGATGTTCAAAGCTGAAGCTTCTGCATTTTCTACATCTTGCATCTCTCAGTGGGTTACACTGTTAGCTGTGGACTGGGTACAGGGGGTTCCCACTGCTCACAGCTGCTGGTGCTTTCCCCTAACCGCAGTAGGTGAGGGCCTGAGGGCTCCTGTTTCTGTGGAATAGCAGGAGGTTGTCTTTGCACCACCCTAACGCCTGCAAATGCTCTGAATACCAAACACTGACTTCCTTGCCTGGGGAAGCAGCTGGCAAATTGTTGGTTAGGAAGGCCAGCACACGGTGGTTGTGTGTGTGTGCATTTCTGGGCTGAAAGAGCTGAAATGAGAGCTGTCTCTGTCGCTTTCCTTTCTAAATGGTTTGAGGCTACTGTTGAGTGTTGCTCTTTTGAAAGCTTGAGAAGAATTTAGATCAGTATTTAAGTGGGGATAGATTCAGGGCACAAAATTTCCAGTCTGCTCACTGAAGCTCTTAACAAAAGATCATTTAGCTCTGACCTCATGTTGCAGAAAAATTTATTTTCTCCTGTAAGAAGATGGTATGATCTCTCTTGCCTGATTGGGGTAGCAGAAGTGTCTTGAAAGAGATCTCCAGCTACAGGGCTGAACTGGAGTAGTGAAAGACATTCCTTGTTAAGTTGTTAACTCCCCTGTAGGTTATTGCTGCACTTAATGTCCATTTTGATGAGTCTGTGCTTGTATCAGTTGCTAATGTTGAACTTCAGGTTCAGTGTGTTGCAAATGACCTATTACCAAAATGAAGAATTAAATTTAGTGGCTTTTAATTTTACAAAATACATGGTTTGATATTACCTCATAAAACCAAAGCTGTTGAATCCTGGAACTAGAAACAATCTCTAACTGATTGCTGTGTATTCCAGTTGGGACTTTTCTGTCTGCTTTTCCTTGCTCCCTGGTGTTAAATAGATTAGGAGCAGCAGGTGACTGTCACCCAAATGGCTGTAATTGTGGGCAGCAGGAGCAATTTGCAAAGGCAGTTCAGCATCTAAATGGAAGTTCAAGCCATTTCTCCCTGGCAGAGGAGATTGAAGCTCCTTTGAAGCCTCTGGTTTAGGCACTTGCCTCATGATCTCAGACGTGTGGTCGCATTAATAGGGAATTGCATCCCTGGTGCCAGGGTTTAGCTATTGTGATGCCTAATGGCCTGTTTTCTCTTTGGCACTCCTAACTGCTTTCTTTAAATTGCTGCTGTGCTCAGTGTATCAAAGAGATTCTTCTGTGCTCTCTCCATGACAGTCAACTTTGCATCCAGCCAGGATTGCCACAGAATGCAGGTCACATATGTGGAGCTGCTCCAGCCCCATGGTGTCAGTGTGACAACTTGTGAGGGAAGAGCAGACTTGGGTTACTGAATGATACCAATTTGACTTTGAAACATCTTCTGTGTACCTTAATTTGGCTTATGGGAGGCAAAACAAAGTTGAGGAGTAATGGTGCCTGGATTGGGTGCTAATTCCAGGGTGGGAGGCCTGTGTTCAACCCCCTCTTTGTTCATACACTGTAGATTCCAAGTAAAGGAGTCCAGACTAGAAGCTTTGTATTTCTGTGTGCCTGCTTTGTTCATATGGTTTAAAGCCAGAGCTTTACACACTCAGGTTATTCTTGTGGTGGGAATGCCTTTCTGGTTCTGCAGAGTTGCTGTGCTGTACCAGTAGTGCTGTGTTGTGCTGGCAAAGCTGTGGCTTGTGCTGCCTCAGTGACCTCAGCTGCTTCCCTATGTGTATGAACGAAGCAGCCAGAGCAAAGCTGTAGTAGGGCTCCACTTTCCATCTGTCACTGCAGAGAGTCCTGTTCTTTTCCTGAAATCTGGCAAAGCATTCCTGTTACAGCTCCATTTACTTTCCTGCAAGGCTGCCTTCTCCAGGAATATTGGTCTGGGATCCAGGAGGACTCCCAGCAAACTGGGCAGTGACCTCAGACCTCTGTACTGTGGTCCCTTCCTGCTCAGTTCATCACCATGGGTAGGTGGCAAATGGCTAACTTCTCAGAGATGATTGCTCCTGATGCCTGGAAGACTTACAGATGAGATTTTTCATTAACCTTTGAGCATTTTTTTGAGCTTCTTCACTGTGCATGCACATGTTAAACCTGTTTCTGGCAGGTGTTCTTGTGATGTGAGTAGTTCTTGGCTCCTCACCACATCAGGGCCAGAACTGTCATGAAAGCTGCATGGCCACTGTCAGTGTGCTGGGTCTGGATCCATGGAGGGATGTTTCAGGAATAGGTTTCAAGACCTCCTCTTGTCTGCAGTGTGATCTCCCTTCTGCTGTCTGGGATAAGCAAGTGCAAAGATCCAGCCAGAACTTCCTTGCACACTGTGTGTCTTCCTTCTGCTGAGCAGCTTCTAAGTCCTGAAGGCATTGTTCATACTGCAACATCAGAAATAGCCCTGAATCCAAAGCATTTACAACCAGGGAGCTGGGGGTTTGCTGTGGGATCTTGCATCACAGGTAAAGGTTTGTCCACTGGTTACTTTAATATTTGAAGGCTGAGCAGATGGGTGAGATTTTGCCAAATTTGACTGATGCTCATGTTTTAAGGTTGAGCTCAGTAATCTGTATCTGCCCCTTAAGTGCCTGTTTACTGATTAATTCAGGCTACTTCAGACTACTTCAGAAAGTATTCTTCAGTGTTTGCCTGATTGAAGCTTGCTGTTGAACCTCAGTGCTGGAATGCCCATGTTTGGTGGGGCAGCAAGCCCTGCTTAGGCCCCTCATGGGGAGAGCTCTCAGCTAAGATTCACAGCTGTGAAAATACCTAACTTATGGTGGTCTTTTTTTCTTTCCTGAAGGGACAGATGATGACC